GGTCCTGAATGTCGGGCCAGAACGTCGGGCCTTGAGGTGGTGGTGCGGCGAAGCTCTGGCAGTGGTCCGGCGAGGTTCCGGCGGTGTTCCGGTGAAGTTCCGGCGGTGGTACGGCGAGGGTGAGGATCTCAGGTGGTGGTCCGGCGAGGTTCCGGAGGTAGTCGAGGAGGAGCTTCTTCCTACTCTTCCTTCTCCTCTTCCTTCTCTTCCCCTCTTTTCTTCTTGCTTGGACACCCATTTGTGAAGAATGAGGGCTCTATTTATAGATTTTCTGGAGTGACATAGCTCGTAAATAGGCGTGAGATCAAGGGTAAATGGGGAGTGGTTGGATGGACGGCCGATATTGAACCCCTTGATCATGGACCGTTCGTCAGGCATTTGGAAGCCTTAATGATTTCAGAATTCGGTGATCTTAGGCTCATTGGATTCGTCTCGTCGAGCCGTTCGATTCGAGTATAAGCTCGTTAAAATCGGAAACCGTTTGGTAACTCAAATTGTAATTCGAACCTTCCAACAGCACTTCGAGTCTTCGATTTAGACTCATTTGGGCTCGGATCGAGTTGAATTTTGTGTCGTTGGGTTCGTATTTCCGAGACGCTCAGTTTGACTATAAGTTCGCTGAAATCGGAGTTCGGGAGCTCCTAGATTTGATTTTTGAAGTTTCCACTCCATTTTGCATCGAGATTCGTGTCCGATCAACATAATTTTTTGACGATGTATCAATATTTAAAATTTAAAGTGTTGCTCAACCATCTAGCATTGCTCAAAAACAAGCTTTTCAAGAGCCATCCTTGGCCAGGCTCATCCCAACATCTTAAATAATAAATTCCAGCAAAATTTGCAAAGCAAGAATTATCAAATAAAAAAATTGCTCGTTTCAAGTGATTTTTAAAAAGTTTCTCTCTTGGCTCTAGTGCAAGATCTCCCTTTGTGTCAACACAAGCTCGCTCTTTGTTTTGGAGCTATTGGGCAAGAAATAGTTCGTGAACCTTGCTACTGATATCAAAGCTCACCTAGCTCTACTGACCCCTGATAGAGAAATTCAGCCAAATGCATGTTGCTCACTCCACTAATGTCTTCAACAATGATATTCTCTCTCTCTCTCTCTCTCTCTCTCTCTCTCTCTCTCTCTCTCTCTAAAACACACACACACATTAGGCCACCACCCAAGTCCATTATGGTTTATTGACCAAACCCGATAAAGAAATATTAAGTTTTTCACATAACCATGGACTTCAAAACACTTTTAAATGTTGTCTCCATTGTATCTATGGGAGGGAAAACTAGACAGAATCAAGTCCCTCAACCTCCAATAATTAATTTTATGATTTTACCCAACATTCTTACTTGGAATATTAGGGGCCTAAATAGTGATAGTTAGTTTGAGATTATAAGAAGTTGGTAGCTGATCTTAAGGTTGATATTTCATTTGAAATTAAACTCAATTCTAACAATATTATTGGATATTTTATTGCTAGAAAATTTATTTTCTTCTCTATTGTGAAAAATTCTAATAACATTTAGGTTTCTCCTCATAGTCACATTTGGGCTAAATGGAATGTTATGATTGTGAATTTTAATTGTTTTCATGTTCAAAGTCAATATATTCATGGTCCGTTAAATGTATTTATTGATATTAATGTCATGATCTCATTTATTTATGCTAAACATGAGGCTCTTTGTAGTAAATTTCTGTGGCAACCCATTGCAAACATGTATCATTATATTGGAAAACTTTGGATATCTTGTTAAGTTAAATTATATTGAAATTACTAAAGAATTTTTTTTAGGGGGGTGGACCCTACCCATCCCTCTAGAATGTGGGATTTTAATAGTTTTTTTCTTTGATGTTGAATTAATTGATCTTCCTCATTGTGGTCTCCCTTACAATAGGTATAATCAACAACTTCATAAACCTATTAGATGCATGCACGATCGTTCCTTATGTTATCCTCAATGGTTGGACTTATTCCCACTTTTCTTATTCAAAATTCTCCATCCTAGCACCTCTGATCACTCTCTCATTTTTCTTCAACCTAGCTCTCAAACTCCCATTTTGAGAAGATTTATGTATAAGAACATATGGTCTTTTTGCAATAATTTCTTTGATATTGTTAAGGGGGATTAGGATATCCCTATCAATGGTGATCTCATTTGTATTTTATGCAAAAGACTTCAAAATGTGAAAAATGCTAAATGAAACTCCTCTTTCATCCATAAGAAAATTAAGTCCCTCGAGTATTTTCAAAAGCCATTTACAATGATCGAGGGACGTACCCCTTCGATATGAATCTTTAGAATATGGATCTTATTATCCAATAGGAACTCATTCATGTTATTAACTTTGAACATGTTAGATCAAGCAACGAATCTAATGTTCCTGGCACACTAAGGGTAAAGATGATCTTAAATTTCTTTATCAAAAAGTTCAACATAGGAGAAGTTGGTACCATATTAGTGAAATCTAGAATTCTCAACGGCTTATCCTTCCTCAATTGGGTATTTCTAATTATGTTATAAATTATTTATCGATTCATATTACACCTAATCGCCTTACTTTGTTTCCTTGGGTCCTAGCTCACATCTCAAGATAAATACTTTTTATGATGAATTTCACTAATAATGATATCAAAGAGGCACTTTGGTAATAATAAAACTCTGTGTGCTTATGGCTTCACTTTCATTTTTTTAAAAGATGCTTGATTTATCTTGGGATCTTCCTTTATTACTACTATTAAATATTTCTTCACTACTTCCCACATGCTTGATAAAACTAAGCATAATGTTGTTATTTTAATTCCAAACACCAATCACTCGATAAGCTTAGCATATTATATACATGTCTCCTTATGTAAGGTCACCTACAAGGTTATTACCATATGCTTTGCTAATAAACTCATAAGCCTTCTCCCTAATCTAAGTCACCAAGCTCAAGATGCATTTATTTATAAGGTGATGTTATTGATAATTTTATTTTGGCTAATGAGATACAAAGAGGTTTCTATCAAAATGGTTCTAAAAAAAAAATTTGTGCAAAGATTGATCTTATGAAAGCTTTTAATCATGTTAACATAACATTTCTTTATAGTAGACCCATCTCCCTTTATTTCCCTACTTCTTTGTCAAATGGATTCAAGCTTACAATAACAATGTCAAATTTTATGGGCAAATGAAAGGTTTATTCAACTCCAATCATGGGTTAAGGCAGGGGTGCCCTCTCTCTCTCTCTCTCCCTTTTATTATTATCATGGACGTCTTTTCTAGGCTCATGAAGAATAACTATTCTAAATCTTCCTTTACTTGCATCTCTAAGAGGAATGTGAAAGTCTCTCTCTCCTTAAACATGTTGATGGCCTTATAATGTTTGGGAAGGCTTCTAATTCTAGTCTCGCTCTACTTTTGTTTTCTATCTTAAGTACTTTTAACAACTAGATTGGGTGTATTGCTAAAATCAACAAATCATTAATTTGCTTTTCCAAATATGTGAATTCTTTTAGGAAAGAGCTTTTATGTAATATCTTGAAACTTTATATCAAAGCTCTTCCTTGCAATTACCTGTGTACCCCTTGCTGCACTACCAGATGAATCAATCTCACTTCTCCAAAATGATGAATGAGCATATAGGTGGCTAAATGAGTGAAAACAAAAACTCTTCTCTTATGAGAGATTCCAACTTATTCATTCTGCAAGATGAAATTATCTCTATTATTAACTCAAATCCATGTCTTTTTTCAACGGCCTTAGTAATAAAATTACATGTTTGATTAATAACTTTCTCTATGAGAAGGAACAAAATCATAAATAAGATTCACATGATATCATTTTTCCTCTACTTTTTTCCTAGAGATAAAGGTGGTTTTGGTCTCCCCTCCATTGATACTTCGCACTCCTTATCTAAGATTAAACTCATTGGTAGGATTTATAATGCTAATACTTTTTCTTGTTGATTAGTGCAACAAAGTTCATGATTCATTATGAATCAAACCCTTCAGTAATTCCTCCTATTTTCAAAAACAACTTCATAAGACTACCTATAGTTTTAGAAATATGATTGAGCTCAAGATTTGTACTAAAATCCACATATCTATTTTCTTTAACCCCTGGCTTGATGGGTATCACTCTTTAAAAAGTTTGGAGACCAAAATTTCCATGCCTTCCAATGTGCTCAGTATACTAGATTATCTAATTTCATTGATAATATTCAATGGTGCCTTACTCGTTCTAACATTTTATAAATTTTCTCCTAAATCTTATATTGCAAACCACGTGGTTCCCTCATCTCATTCGAGTAATATTAAATACTATACTTTCTTACCATTTCAATAGCAACTATCAATTCACTGATCCTTTATCAAATTTAAAAAAAAAAAATTGCAACTATCAATTTAAAATTTTGATATATGATATGTGAGAATTTGATTTAAAGACTAAAATATTAAAAAAAAATTAAATAAATAAATAAAGTAAGCAGCTATTGCTGCCATCAAAGTTCCAAGCACAACGGAAACATTGCCATCTGGATCAGTGGCGGAGCCAGAAAAATTTTCATAGAGGGGGCCTATTTTTTTTTTAATTCCTCAAATTTTTTCATCCGGGCTTAAGACTATCATGGACAGCTTTAATTTTTTTAAAAAATAAACTATTAAATATAAGATGAAAAATACTTACAATCTAGACCAATTCTTAAGATTAAATAAGCACTATTTATTTCATGTCTCGATGCTTAACATAAAACTGATGCTCTTGGCTTAAACGTAATCGCAATAACATGAATTTATAAGCACAGCTCATTACATGAAACAAACAAACATATATCGTACAATTAGCAAACTCATTAGCCTTACCACAATTTTTATTTTATTTACTTCATGAATTCCTTTCCATTCATTCTTGTCAAAAGTTGCCATCTAGACTTTTCTGTTAATTCATTCAATTTCAACAACAATTAGTAAAAAATATAGTTTTTTTTATTATTAATTTCACTATAATAATTCCTTCCATACAACACCAAGAGATTTTTTTTTTTTTTATTTCATTTCACAACATATGCAGCCAAACACAGGGAAATCATACAATTAGCATAAAAAACCAAATAAAACAAATCAAGCTGATCCAGAGAAAGGGAAACATGTGATGAGCGATTCAGCCAAATAAAATCAAAATTTTTCTGAGGTAAGAAGATTTTTCACTAACCTTCTTCAAGCTACAGAGAGCAATTCGTGTGAAATTTTCTCTCCTCGCCCACATCCCTCTCATCACCGTCTCCTCCGTCCTGCATTCCTGCGCCTCCTCTACAACCCATCAAGTCGACCAGGACAAAGCCAAGCTCGATGACCTAAAACAGCGACAAGCTATTAGCTACCACAACCAGACCAATCACTCCATGATCTCGAGCTACGCCTGCAGCACCTTCTCCTCTATGACTCCCTTTCCATCTGGAAGATGACTGGCTTCTCCACGTGGTCCGTCCACGGCAACCAACCACAGAGACAGATTTTTAAGAGAAAGGGAAGGCCAGCGAAGAGTGTTTCCGGACACGGGCTGGAGGATGAAAACAAATGAAATAGGTAAAGAAATTTTTTAGACAAACCTTCTTCAAGCTACGCTCTCCTCATGCGACAGTTTCTGCAGACCTGCTCCGCCACAACTCTGGATGCGAGATTTTTAGGGCAAAGGCGAGAGCGGGAGGCGGAAATCTGATTTAAGCTTTTTTTTTTCCGGGGTTGGGGGGGGCACGTGCCCCCGCAGGCCCCCCCCTAAATCCGCCGTTGGAGTGAACAACAATCACGGTTACTTTTAGACTTCATTTGGAAAGACTTTCTTGTTGCTCTTAAAGTATATTTTTAATATAAAAATTTTAATTTTTGTACTAAAAAAATATTTTAAGAAGCAACAAAAAAGCCATCTCAAATGAAGTCTGGAACGGCATTCTTTCTGCCTCTTAAAGCATCTTTCTAGCACAAAATTAAAATTTTTTTACTAAAAAACTGATTTAAGAAACAGAAAAAAAATCATCTCAAAAGAAGCCTTAAACAGAGATTATAGCAGAGCTGCTTCACCTTAAAATTCACCACCATTAAGGATGTTGGTGGAGTGAAGTATTGGTGAACAGATGCAGGGAAGGACATGCTATCAATACAACTATTTAGTGAAAGAACGGTGATTTTAATGGTGGTGGAAGCAGAACTTCAACGTTTGGAATAGTTATCTGAGCTAAGCTTTCTCATATGACATGTTTGACCACATAGCTTTCAAGATAGAACGATGAAGAAACAAGTTTCATGGAAGAAGGAAGCTTGTATGCATCAAATGAGTGAAGGATTAAGGTATAATACCAAAGTTTTCAGGTTCCTCGAAGTTCGCGAACGCGATCTTTAATAAGTTTTCTCTCCCAATCAGCAATGTCATTGAATGCATATTCAGGAAGGCTCTCAAAGGGCTCTTTCCAGGGATCGTTCTTGGCCAGATCATAAGTTGCTCCACGAATTGAGGTCTTGTTAGGTCCACAAGGTCTTTTGGAAGTAAGCTTATTATAAGCTGTATCCAACTGCATAAGTGTGAAAAAGAAGCACCAAGTTTTAGAAAGCAAAAACTAGAAGCAAGATGGAGGGAAATCATGTAAAGAAAGAGAATGCCCAAAAAGAAAAACAACTACAAGTAATAGTCTACAATCATTTTGAGAAGCAGGTCAACCAATGTAAATACTGATTTCCAAGATAAAGATAGTCCTTCCACACAAAGGGTTAATCTTTTCTCAAAGAATTAGCTTTTTCTCCTTCGCTTTTGCTAATTTTCTTTTGTCTTTTGCAAAACAATTTATAATCCACGATTCAGGTTTCGTTTGGGACGATTTTCTTACTGATTCTTAAAGCAGCTTTTTCGTATAAAAATTAAAATGTTTGTACTAGAAAGTTGCTTTAAGAAGCAACAAGAAAGCCGCCCCAAACGAAGCATCAGTTTCTTGGCTGCAAATGGCCACAACAAAACTGACCACATAATTTTGAAGATTTGGACTCATGATCCAGAAGGCTCTAAAAGCCCAATCTCAGCCCAATCGGAATTGAATGATGCAAGCAAAAAAAAATAAGAGTTTAGTCATAGCAAATCAAGGCCAATAGGATTTATATAAGCTTGTTGAAAGAAAAATAAAGGACGTATGATATCAAGGTTGAGACCATAATTTCTGCTTAATGAATCCAAAATAAGAGATTTAGTTATGATTTTACATCCAAAATAGGTAAAATTGGAGGCTATTTCAAGTTTTAACGAAGTAAAAATTAACTCCACAATCCAAGCCATGCAAATATGACTTATGCCCACTATTTCAGATAGTTTTGAATAAATCAAAACTCACTCATTCAAGCCAAGCAAACAAGAATTGTGGTCACTAGGCAAAAAGGTTTTAGATAAATAAGAAACTAACCCTACAAATCAACACAGATAAGAAGGATTCTACCACAAGAAGATGAGGAGAGGGAAAAAATTCTTATCTACTCCAAAGAATCAAGGAGCATGCTACAAAGTCCTAAGATGAGGAGCTTAGGGGGACTAGGACGGATCTACTGAATGATGCGAGTAGCCACCATGGCTATTCTCTAGAAGGGGAGAGACTGTTGTACCAAGTGAGGTTTGTGCTGCCACAAACCTCAGTTCATATTCCCCACCTACTGCAAGAGTTTCATGGGAGGGCTGTCGGGGGGCATTCTGGTGTGCAAAAGATTATAGGAGATTGGCAGTAGAATTGTATTGGAAGGGGATGCATAGGGATGTGGAGGAGATGATGACTAGGTGTGAGGTATGCCATAGAAACAAGTACATGACTATAGCTCTAGAAGATTACTTTAACCCCTGACTCTTCCAGATAGTGTGGAAGGAGGTTACCATGGATTTCATAGATAGGCTACCTTGATCTGAGAGGTTTACAGTGATTCTAGTGGTGGTTGACAGGTTGAGCAAATATGCTCATTTCATTCCCTTATGACACCCTTATACGGCAGTTACAGTGGCGACAACATTCATCAGAGAGGTGGTCAGATTGCATGGGATCCCGAAGTCGATAGTTTCTTACTGAGATAAGGTGTTCCTCAATCATTTTTTGAGAGAGTTGTTCATGCTGCAAGGAGTAGTTAAAAGAGAATCACCACTTACCACCCTCAGACAGACGAACAAACAGATGTGATAAACAAGAGCCTGGAAACTTACCTGTGGAGTTTTGCTTCAGAGACACCTCAGCTACATGCCAAGCGGCTAACATGGGCAGAGTATTTATACAACATTTCATATCATTCGGCTACCCATATGACTCTTTTCAAAGTGTTGTACGAAAGGGACACTCCACACTTAATACATTTTGGGCAGAAGAGCACACCAGTTTCTTCAGTAGATCACTACTTGGAGGAAAGAGATGGGGTGTTGGAAGAATTGAAGAGGCACCTATTGAGGGAACAATAAATTATGAAGAAGCTAGCGGATGGACACATGAAGGACATCCAGTTCGAAGTGGGGGATAGGGTGTTCTAAAAGCTGTGCCCTAACACACAGAGGACGGTCGCCAACAAGAGGAATGAAATTGCCCCAAGATACTTTGGCCCATATGAGGTATTGGAGAGAATTGGAGCAGTATTGTATTGCTTAAGATTACCATTGACTGCAACTATACATCCGGTGTTCCACGTATCATAGCTGAGGAGAGCTATTGGGGATCATGCAACTAATTTAAAGTTACTTGTGACATTGGCACAGAACTTAGAAGTGTTACTAGACTCACTGGAGTTGAGAGGAGTTCGACAAGGATAAAGGACCTAAGGAGGTTCTGATAAAATTGAAGAACTTACAGGACTATAATGCAACCTGGGAGCATATGAGAGAGTGAAGCATCAGTTTCAATCCTTTCACCTTGAGGATAAGATGATTCCTTGGGAGGGAGGTATCTTTAGATCCAAGAAAGCCGGCTCAGCATAAGGGCCGACCCCTAATTTATTCTAGGCTGGCCAAATAGCTGTCGGTCCCCTTGTGGGGCCTATTATTTTAATAAAAAAAATTCAAGTGGGGTGTTTTAGGAGGGAATTATATTTGGCAAGGGCTATTTAGTAAGTAGAATTATATTTGTATGCTTTAAATAGATGACAAGGGTAGGGTTATCTTTGTTTTTGCTGAATTTGGGATTTCTCTTAAATTTGCTTGGGCTCTAGCCGTCAACTAGGGATTGGGAGAGACGGATCTTTCTCTCGAATTGAAGACCAATTATATCGTGTTTATTTCTTCTTATTATTATCAATAAAAAGGTTTCTCGTGCGTGATTCCACCAAGATCTTTCTTGGATTTCCCTTCAGGTAGTGTAGTATTCTGTTTGTTGCTTACATGTGAGTCTACTTTAGATTTTGCATGAACCGGCTGACCATGCTTACAGAAAAAACTACATTTGGTCTTGTGTGAAAAAGGTAGATCAATTTCCCCACAAGTCTCTAGTCAACTCCCTTATCTATGTATGGATCCTCTTTAGCTTCCTCAAATTTGAGATTTGATTCTATCGGTGTTAGTGGAGGTTTACAAGCTAGTTTATATATTTCTTTAATAAGATCATTAAGGTATTTCTATTGTGAAATGAAGATTCCACTGCTGGAGTGGGCCACCTCAATTCCAAGAAAATATTTCAACCAACCAAATTCTTTGACCTCAAATTTATTTGCAAGACATTCCCTTAGAATTACTTTTTTTTCATCATTCCTAGTAAATATGATATCATCCATATAAATTAACAAAACGGTGATTCCCTCTGAGTCTGAGTGCTTAAAGAATAGTGTATTGTTTCATTGGCTCTGTGTATATCCACTGAGTAGCATGACTTTTGATATTTCCAAACCAAACTCTAGGTGATTATTTTAGCCCATATAGAGCCTTTTTTAACATATACATTGTCACCTCCAAAATTTTCCTAGAATCTTGGATCAGTTTGAGGTGGAGCTGGAAGGTCAACGAGGGTAAGCTCACTTGCCTCACCTTCTTCAGTTTCAGTCTCCCACTGAAAATGAGGTTTGATGAAATAGAATTTTTGTTCCTCTAAAGTGACATCAACAGATGCAAGGGTTTTCTTGATAATGAGATGATAACTTGTAACCTCTCTGGGTAGATCAATATCCTGCAAAGATATATTTGAGTGCTCTTTGATCTAATTTCTCTCTATTTTGATTGTGAATATGAACATATGTAGAGCACCCAAAGATTCTAGGTACGAGGTTGTTATGAGTTCAAAATTCAAGGTAAAAAATATAGGATATCCATTGGTGTTTTTAATTCCAAAGTTCTTGAAAGTAATCAGTTTATGAGATATGTGGCAATCAGAAGGGCTCCCCCCTTCTGATGCAAGGGTTTTCTTGATAATGAGATGATAACTTGTAACCTCTCTGGGTGGATCAATATCCGACAAAGATATATTTGAGTACTCTTGGATCTAATTTTTCTCTATTTTGATTGTGAATATGAACATATGTAGTGCACCCAAAGATTCTAGGTATGAGGTTGTTAAGAGTTCAAAACTCAGGGTAAAAAAAGATAGGGTATCCATTGGTGTTTTTAATTCCAAAGTTCTTGAAAGTAATCAGTTTATGAGATATGTGGCAATCAGAAGGGCTCCATACATGAATAAGGGGGTTAAAGTAGTCTTTGCGATTGTCGGAACGAAATTTCTTTATTTTCACCCCGGATTGATTCTAGATCATGGTGTGAAAAATGGGAATTATAGTGCAAACATAAAATTTATTTTTTTAGGAGAAAAATCCAAGAGACTCGAGTGCAGTCGTCAATAAAGGAAACAAGCCATCGGGCTCCTAAACTATTAGGGATTTTTTAGGGTCCCCAGATATCACTATGCATAAGGTAAAAGGGATATGAGATCTTTCATTTTTGTTTAGAAAAAAACTCATTTATGCTTGGTTAACTCACATGTTTCATAATGAAATAATTCATTTTTCAACTCAAAAAAGTTTTGGATGCATGCTTTTTAATATATCAAAAGATGAATGTCCTAATCTAAAATGATGAAGCCAAATAATATTTTTTTATTAAATAGGAATAAAAAATAGTCATTATTGATAACAGTCGATTTGTTTTGCTCTTCTAGTTAGTACAGTCCATCTTTCTCCTTAGCAAGTCCAATCTTTTTCCCCGATCTTTAGTCATGAAATAAACAAGAAGTATGGTTAAATAGGACTTGGCAGTTATGGTCACTAGTAAGTTTTTATATCGAGATTAGGTTTGTGAATAATTGAGATATGTGGAACACATTGTTTAGAGTGAGAGAGGGAGATAAGAATATGTCTCCTTGGCTTGCTACTTTGATAAGAGAATCATCAACATTATGATTTTCTTATCACTCAAGCAAGCAAGGAGTGTATTTGATGAAGTGGGTAATGAAGTGTGCCATGTGATCTATAGCTCATGCATCAATGATTCATAAATTTTTCAAATGATTTCTAGAAACATTTAATCGAATGGATATAGGAAACTTACTTGAAAGTGCAAGAGAAGAAGATGCAGGTGATTTATAATGAATACCAGGAGTTGCTTTAGCTTATCAATATATTCCTTATTGAGCTCTCTAAAGTTGGATTACTTTTCTGGGTTGGACTAACTTGTTGTAGTGGTAGCTTGTGATATCCCCTTATGGCCATTTCTTTGATTCCATTACTTACTTGGGGCTTTCCATATAACTTCCAACAGATATCCTTTATGTGTCTTGATTTCTTACAATAGATGCAACAAAGGGAGTCTTTGTTTTAAGTTTTGAGGAATCATTATATCTTTCCTTCCATATCACCTCTTTGGTTATCACCATTACTGAATAATCAATAATCTTTGGTTCCAGCATTATCCCTCGTCGGCTTTCCTCGGCACGAATGAGAGAAATAGTCTAATTTAGTTAAGGTACTTCATCTTTGCCAAGGATCTAAACTCCAACTTGGTCAAACTCCGTATTTAATCTTGCAAGAAAGTCATACACTCTATCTTTCTCAATAAAGCTTTTCAGTATAGCATCATCTTATGGATGCTTGATCTCTATACATTTGTAGTGATCAAATTCATACCACAATCCTTTAAGGAGAGTGCCACATTTAGTCACGATCTTGCTTCCTTGTTTTGTATTTCCCATCTTGACCTTAATTTCAAAGACTTGCGCAGCATCCCAAGCCTTTGAAAAAATTTGCCTAGCAGCATCCCATATTTCATTTGTAGTAGATAGGAATATAAAAGTATCACTAATATCTGAAGACATGGAATTCCAAAATCATGACATAATCATGAAGTTCGTTTCATCCCATGCCCAAAAATTAGAATCTCCTTCTTTTGGTCATACCCCAAAAAGGTGATTCATCTTTCATTTCCCTTTCAAGTAGGTATTCACAAATTGAGATAACTTCAGGTATTTCTTGTGATAGGAAAGTTGCATATTTTTTAGGTCTACTCTTTCATGATGCACCATAGAGTCCTCCATTTGATCAAAGCTTTGGGAGGAATTTACTTCAGGCATTATAGCGATGAAGGCTGCATCAAGCAGGGCAACAATGAAGGCTATGTTGGTTATAAGTAAGATAGCAACAACAAGGGAAGACCGACAATGAAGGAACGACAGTAGAAAAAAAAACTCAAATTTTCGGCAACGACAATGAAGGCTCTGATATCATGTTAATTTCATAGAATCGGAGTGAAAAAAGGCTTAATTTTATTGCACAAAACTATACCAATTTATAGATCTATACAAGATATCTTAGTAAGGAAATAAATAACTACAGAATAATGTATAACTTCCCTAATATAATCATTCAAAAATAAGGCACCCAAATATGGAAGAAGATTGACGTGATCTAGGTGAGCCTCCCATAGATCCCCATGCTAGCCGTGGGTTCAAGGGTCAAGGGATGACTGGGAATTAACACTCCTCCCACTAATCCCCATGCTGGCCATGGGATCAAGGATCAAGATGGTTCGGATTTTGCATATATGGATCAATAAGAAAATCAATGGTGCTCTTGTTGAGAGTGATCTCACCTTCCCTCTCCTCTTCCTGACGATTTGCTTTCCTCCTCTACTCAACCGCAACCTTCCAGTTTAGGCAATATAAAATTTAATCAATTGGTCTACAAATATATAAAGCACTAGTCTAGTCTTTGTTTTACTTGTTTTAGGTAGAATTGTTCTTTAGTGACATGTTGATCTACCTAAGTATTATAAATCTCTCTCTTATTATAATGAAAGATTTATTGAATGAAAAAATTTCTAGTTTCTCCCTCTCTAGTCTTTCTTCTTGCCCTCTTCTTCTCTTGGAGTCAACACCTACTCGAAAGGTGCATTCCCCTTCTTTATATGGATCAAGAAGCATATCACAATGCTATAAATAAAGATTTCAAGTAATTCAGATGAAAATAGTTTACATTATATGATAAAATACTCCCCCCTTCCATGCATGGAAGAAAGATTCATGCATATCACGTATTTCATTTTGAAGTTTGCAAATAATTCTTTCATCTTTTTGAAGTTCCACCTAGTATCTTCTGTTTTACAACCCCTCCAATACATGCCTCTTTTTTTCAAAAGATAAGCAAGTAGAGTCTATAGAATCTTCAATAGCTTATGCTAATAAAATTTTCTTAATTTAGGTAAAAAAAGCCCACTTTTACATAGTTAACTCACCCTTCATTTGGTCCATTAGCTGCATCACAAGAAAATCAGGATACAAGAGAGGTCAATGAGGTTATGAAATTGGTTAAGGACATAAAAGATGTAATGGATAGGAGGTAGTTCTAAGGTCAATTAGAGAAGAAATTATTATGTGTGTATTACACACATGGATCCTCATAGGTTGTAAACCCATATAAACAAATACATACACCCTATACATGCATTAAATGGTGCGTACAAGATATGCCCACTTGTACACACATATGTGCACCCTATACACACCTAATATATACTTGTACGCATCTTTTATACACAGATATATGTGAAGAATGTACGAGTAATAATTTCTCCAATTAGAGAAAGCTACTGACAGAGTAAACTGAGGTAAAATTTTATTTAATAATAAAGGGTCATTTTCATCCAAATGCAAGCATTTAGGTTATGTTTAGAGGGTAAAAGTTTAAGTGAAAAGAAATGAAAATGGGATTGAAAATCTTAAATCAGTGGTTACAGATTCAAAATTAACTAATCAATAAATTCTTAGGATTTCTTTTCATTTTCTTCACTTCAATCCAAACAAAGTCTTTGTGAAAAAAATAATGTAAAATGCCGCATAGTCCTCTTGATTCCCAAAGGAAAAATGAAAGACCTATGTGCAACTCATGTCAAATGTGATATGTCTATTTCAAACAGTTCCCACTTCTATTTTTTTCATGAAAAAGGCATAATTTGACATGCAAAATAAGCTTCTACTCTAAGCAATCTGAAAAATAAGAACCCGCACCACTCACCAAACCTCCTTTCAACATAATCCATTGATCCATTAATCATTTCCTAATTGAAAGGTTGCGTGAAAAATCAACAAATGGATTTGATCAAATGAATGAAAATAAAAATCTTGCTCATACGCCCATTCCCCCTTTTCCATGGCGTTTTTTTGGCTGTTGGTTCCCTTTTTTTGTTATCTTCCTATAACTCACAATTCACCTTTGAAGAAGTTACTATTACCAAGAATTTGCAATAAGGACTCAATTCCATGGCCCTGTTCCATGAAACAATTTACATTATATATTGTTTAAGGGAATTGTCATAAAGGAATAGAACGTTTTATAGAGAAAGCAGCATGGAGTTACAAAAACTTACATTCATGTCACAGAACCAAAACATGTATGCAATGGCAACTGCTGGTGCTCTACCCAGCCCAGCAGTACAGTGAACATAAACTCTTCCTTTTCCATCTGATATTGCCCACTCTAGTGAAGAAACTGCTTTGGGCAATTGGCTCCTCAGGGAATTTGGATCAAAGTCTCTTGCCTGTCATTTAAAAAACATAAAAGTTAAGACATTTGGTGAATTTCTTTCTGGGAAAGAACAATTTTTTTACAAGGATAGGTTAGTTCCCATTGGAAAAAAAAAGGAAAGAATAGTTCTTCACGTGACAATCTTGTAGCTGGGACAGTCATCATCCTCATCGTTGTCGTTGTACAAGTTTATTGTTAACTTGCTGGATCTAAATATGTTCACATCTTTGCATACCCCAAAGCTCAAACCTACTCTAGAAAAGGAATCAAGGCCTTCCTACTTTGAGTGCCAGTAGAAATCTGAATTTCAAGAATCACGCTAAGACTTTTTTTAACCACGAGCAAATATCAGTTGCATGGCATCCCCAGTCAGATTGCATGTGATCTTATCTAAGAATTGTTATCAGGTTAATGAAGTCAAGAGTTGCCATTTTAATTGTTTTTTTAATTTTCTGCTTGTGTTTCTAGTTTTCTTTCTCCAGTGACTTTTCAGTTTTTCCTGCTAACCCTTCGTTTTCCCTGTTGGCCCCTCGGTTTCCCAGCAATCTCTCAATTTCCCTGCTGTCCACTCATTTTCTCTGTTGTCTTCTCGTATACTTGCTGTTGTTTAGTCTTCCCTAAGTGATATAAGTGTTGCTTGGTCTTCCCTAAGTGTTATTTGGTCTTTCCTAATCGTTGTTTGGTCTTCCCTAAGTGCTACTGAATTTCCCTATGCTGGTTGTTTTTCCCCATGTTGTTGTCTTGTTGTTGGCTGCTCATTTTCCCTGTAGTGGCTGCTCAGTTTTCTCTGTGCTAGTTCCTATGCATGAGGCTTTAAATGTTGTTGACCTTCACAGAAGATTCAAAAGAAAACAAGATAAAAAAAATCAAAATCAAAATATCTGTAAACCGTCGACCATAGATCTCGCAAATCCTGCAAAAATACCGTTGAAATACTGTGCATTCGGTGTTGTTAGCTTCTCCTCGTGGGATTCAGTATGAAGCTCCTCGATCGCTGCTCTCCAATGCCTTTAAAAGCAAACCGAACCCCTCTGCTTCGAGGCCTTCTCCCAAACTCCTCCCTTGCTCCGACCGAACTCCTTCTCCCACGACACTTCCTCATTCATGAACTCCTCTCAGCTGACCCCAATCCGACGTCTCTCTCCCAATCGTACTCAACCCGATACCCCTTTCTTGAGCCGATGCCAGCAGCCGCAACTAACACTTCCTCCGAACCTCTGTGCCCTAACCGAGCCCTCTAGGGACTTCTTAACAGAGAGAGAGAGAGAGAGGGAGAGAGCTTCTTCCCCATATCTCTTCACCAGCAGCCGAATCCCATACGCAAGCTCTTCCTCTGGCGATCTCCCCCCTCTGCTCTTACCCGACTCCTACCTCACGGGAGACCCAACCCGATTTCCTCTCCAGCCTTATATCCGACCTGCTACCTACCGAACTAAAGGACTCAACCCGATCTCTCCACTACTAGACCCGACCCGTCTCCTCTACCTGATCTTAATTCAATCTAGACAGTAAGTAATTCTACTGTCATTTGATTATTCTTGTTGATTAGTGAGTTTCTCTATTTTGATTGTGAATATGAACATATGTAGTGCACCCAAAGATTCTAGGTATGAGGTTGTTAAGAGTTCAAAACTCAGGGTAAAAAAAGATAGGGTATCCATTGGTGTTTTTAATTCCAAAGTTCTTGAAAGTAATCAGTTTATGAGATATGTGGCAATCAGAAGGGCTCCCCCCTTCTGATGCAAGGGTTTTCTTGATAATGAGATGATAACTTGTAACCTCTCTGGGTGGATCAATATCCGACAAAGATATATTTGAGTGCTCTTTGATCTAATTTTTCTCTATTTTGATTGTGAATATGAACATATGTAGCACACCCAAAGATTCTAGGTATGAGGTTGTTAAGAGTTCAAAATTCAGGGTAAAAAAAGATAGGGTATCCATTGGTGTTTTTAATTCCAAAGTTCTTGAAAGTAATCAGTTTATGAGATATGTGGCAATCAGAAGGGCTCCATACATGAATAAGGGGGTTAAAGTAGTCTTTGCGATTGTCGGAACGAAATTTCTTTATTTTCACCCCGGATTGATTCTAGATCATGGTGTGAAAAATGGGAATTATAGTGCAAACATAAAATTTATTTTTTTAGGAGAAAAATCCAAGAGACTCGAGTGCAGTCGTCAATAAAAGATACAAGCCATCAGGCCCCTAAACTATTAGGAATATTTTAGGGTCCACAGATATCACTATGCATAAGGTAAAAGGGATATGACATCTTTCATTTTTGTTTAGAAAAAAACTCATTTATGCTTGGTTAACTCACATGTTTCATAATGAAATAATTCATTTTTCAACTCAAAAAAGTTTTGGATGCATGCTTTTTAATACATCAAAAGATGAATGTCCTAATCTAAAATGATGAAGCCAAATAATATTTTTTATTAAATAGGGATAAAAAAATAATCATTATTGATAACAATCGATTTGTTTTGCTCTTCTAGTTAGTACAGTCCATCTTTCTCCTTAGCAAGTCCAATCTTTTTCCCCGATCTTTAGTCATGAAATAAACAAGAAGTATGGTTAAATAGGACTTGGCAGTTATGGTCACTAGTAAGTTTTTATATCGAGATTAGGTTTGTGAATAATTGAGATATGTGGAACACATTGTTTAGAGTGAGAGAGGGAGATAAGAATATGTCTCCTTGGCTTGCTACTTTGATAAGAGAATCATCAACATTATGATTTTCTTATCACTCAAGCAAGCAAGGAGTGTATTTGATGAAGTGGGTAATGAAGTGTGCCATGTGATCTATAGCTCATGCATCAATGATTCATAAATTTTTCAAATGATTTCTAGAAACATTTAATCGAATGGATATAGGAAACTTACTTGAAAGTGCAAGAGAAGAAGATGCATGTCATTTATAATGAATACCAGGAGTTGCCTTATTGAGCTCTCTAAAGTTGGATTACTTTTCTGGGTTGGACTAACTTGTTGTAGAGGTAGCTTGTGATATCCCCTTTTGGCCATTTCTTTGATTCTATTACTTACTTGGGGCTTTCCATATAACTTCCAACAGATATCCTTTATGTATCTTGATTTCTTACAATAGATGCAACAAAGGGAGTCTTTGTTTTAAGTTTTGAGGAATCATTATATCTTTCCTTCCATATCACATCTTTGGTTATCACCATTGCTGAATAATCAATAATCCTTGGTTCCAGCATTATCCCTCGTCGGCTTTCCTCAACACAAATGAGAGAAATAGTCTAATTTAGTTAAGGTATCTCATCTTTGCCAAGGATCTAAACTTTAACTTGGTCAAACTCCATATTTAATCTTGCAAGAAAGTCATACACTCTATCTTTCTCAATAAAGCTTTTCAGTATAGCATCATCTTATGGATGATTGATCTCTATACATTTGTAGTGATCAAATTCATACCACAATCCTTTAAGGAGAGTGCCATATTTAGTCACGATCTTGCTTCTTTGTTTTGTGTTTCCCACCTTGACCTTAATTTCAAAGACTTTAGCAGCATCCCAAGCCTTTGAAAAAGTTTGCCTGGCAACATCCCATATTTCATTTGCAGTATATAGGAATATAAAAGTATCACTAATATCTGAAGTCATGGAATTCCAAAATCATGACATAATCATGAAGTTCGTTTCATCCCATGCCCAAAAATTAGGATCTCCTTCTTTTGGTCCTACCCCAAAAAGGTGATTCATCTTTCATTTCCCTTTCAAGTAGGTATTCACAAATTGAGATAACTTCAGGTAACTTTTGTGATAGGAAAGTTGCATATTTTTTTAGGTCTACTCTTTCATGGTGCACCATAGAGTCCTCCATTTGGTCAAAGCTTTGGGAGGAATTTACTTCAGGCATTATAGCGACAAAGGGTAGCGATGAAGGCTACATCAAGCAGGACAACAATGAAGGCTACGTTGGTTATAGATAATATAGCAACAACAAGGGAAGACAGGCAATGAAGGCACGAAAGTAGAAAAAAAAACTCAAATTTTTTGCAACGACAATGAAGGCTCTGATATCATGTTAAATTCATAGAATAGGAGTGAAAAAAGGCTTAATTTTATTGCACAAAACTATGCCAATTTATAGATCTATGCAAGATATCTTAGTAAAGAAATAAATAACTACAGAATAATGTATAACTTCCCTAATATGATCATTCCTAAATCAGCCACCCAAATATGGAAGAAGATTGGTGTGATCTAGGTGAGCCTCCCATTGATCCCCATGCTAGCCGTGGGTTCAAGGGTCAAGGGACGACTGGGAATTAACACTCCTCCCACTAATCCCCGTGCTGGCCATGGGATCAAGGGTCAAGGGATGGTTGGGATTTTGCATATATAGATCAATAAGCAAATCAATGGTGCTCTTGTTGAGAGTGATCTCACCTTCCCTCTCCTCTTCCTGACGATGAGTTTTCCTCCTCTACTCAACCGCAACCTTCCAGTTTAGGCAATATAAAATGTAATAAATTGGTCTACAAATATATAAAGCACTAGTCTAGTCTTTGTTTCACTTGTTTTAGATAGATTTGTTCTTTAGTGACATGTTGATCTACCTAAGTATTATAAATCTCTCTCTTATTATAATGAAAGATTTATGGAATGAAAAAATTTCTAGTTTCTCCCTCTCTAGTCTTTCTTCTCGCCCTCTTCTTCTCTTGGAGTCAACACCTACTCGAAAGGTGCATTCTCCTTCTTCATATGGATCAAGAAGCATATCACAATGCTATAAATAAAGATTTCAAGTAATTCAGATGAAAATAGTTTACATTATATGAAAAAATACTCCCCCTTCCATGCATGGAAGAAAGATTCATGCATATCAAGTATTTCATTTTGAAGTTTGCATATAATTCTTTCATCTTTTTGAAGTTCCACCTAGTATCTTCTGTTTACAACCCCTCCAATACATGCCTCTTTTTTTCAAAAGATAAGCAAGTAGAGTCTATAGAATCTTCAATAGCTTATGCTAATAAAAT